GTCACATTCAGGGTGAGAAATATCCAGCCAGAGATGGGGGAAAGGCGGAAAGACTGGCGTCTCACGTTCAGGGTGAAAATGAGAACTTTATTTGGAAAATGGAGGAGCTCTGACTGAGGCAGACCTTTTCATCCCCTGGGAGGTCCCGCAATATCAGGCTTGGAGGTCACGGCATTTTGCAAGCAAGTAATGCAGCCTTTTGCCCACTCACCAGCAAAGTCGCCGTGCCCTCCGAGGGGAGAGGGGGAAAGCTTCGGGCTCTCGGAGCTTAAGCTGGCGCTGACTGACACCATTAGGATTCATTTCATCGCTCCAGAAGGCCTTGGAGAAAGTGCTTGAAAAAAATACCCTAAATTCTCATCGCATTTCTGGTGCAATAAATGAATTTGGAAAGAATCGAGGCGTTAATGCTTACTGCCCACATGGATTTTCTCAGAGGATCGCAGTCAACATGGCTTAAATTTGCCTCATTCGTGTATGAAGTCTTTCTTTTCACCCCTTTACATCCTGAGCTATTAAATTTTAAATCATGCAGGCCATGAAGCCTTGCTCAGGACCTCTCTGAGCTGGAAGGAGAAAGCGTTGCCATGACCCAAGCACCTCTCAGGAAACCCTCCTTGTTGACCAAGATGGTTGTTGAAGACCTGCTCCCCTGGACGCAGCGGGAGCGGGCTCTGCTTTGCGGCCCGTCGGAGGCTTCCCTTTTGCTTCTGCCTCTGACCAGATTTGCTGGCAGCGTTCAACACCTTCCAGCATCAGGGGGTTATTTTTGTCTCCCAGCTGGCTCTGGGCTGCCTAGCCCAGGCTGTGGAGCATTAAGACGTTCATCCACAATGCCACTGCTTTTAATTTTCCCTTTTTATAGAGAGAACTGAATCAGAGGGAGTCTGATGTTCCCTCTAATTATTTTTTACTTCAAAAGGGGGAGGTTTAAGCATACCAGTGAGGACGAGAACTCCTAGAAGCTACAGCCCTGCTCCTTCGTAAGGAAACAATGGCCATGGTCCTGCCAGGGGAGCTGGAGCTGGGTTAGGGCTTGTTAGTGCTCCTCATACCATATTTAATCTTACTAAACTTATCAGCCTTCCTCTGTCAGTTGAAAGGGAAAGTTAATGTTGGTGAAGTCACCACCATTAATGGTGGTCAAAAAAAACCCAAAAGAATACTGAGCGAGCTGCTGAGTTTTCATTTTAGAAATGAGTTTTGAGGAACTCAGCCAGTCACAACGCAGGCATGTTGTAGCCATTGTTGGTGACATGGAACATCATTAACTCACATCTCTTTAATTACAGGGGGAAGGGAGCGATACTGGACTTGCTGAAATCAAGTGACCCTGCTATTGATTTTAATGGGAGCAAACTCAGGTTTGGGTCAAGCTGTATCTTATGTGTGTGTGATTAGGAAAGGGAAGGGAAAAGGAAAGGAAGCTACGGCCACGTTCTCCGCTTCTCTCTGTTTTTTTACGAGCATTTGGTGGTTAATAAGCACGCACAAGCAACTGCCTGCTTCCACCTGTGGGAAACTGGCCTCTGCATCAGGGCCTGCCTCCCTCTTGGGTGTCTGCAGCCGGCGGTTGGGCAGGCATTGCTGCCATCCTGTGGAGAGCCAGGCCGAGGGATGGCTGCGGGGCCACAGGGTGCCTGGGGCAGGCCCCACGGCAGTGGTGGGACGGGGCCCCATGGTGGTGGGGCTGGGGATCACCTCATGTGTTTTTGGCCCAGGGCCATTGGGTGTTCCCCGGCCAGCTCCAGGACTTTGAGCACCAGTTTGCATTGCGCTGGTCCAGCTGGAGCGGGAATCGTGCCCGTGTTGCATAAAATAGCCGGACGCGAGAGCCACTGGGGCAAGCTGTCGTCCTCTGCTACTCTTTCGGTGCTCAGATCCAACAGGGACGCGTGGTGGACGGATGTTTCTTTTCAAGGGTGCTCTCCATACTGAAATCACAGCCTCAGCCTTGGTTTTAATTCCATTTTTATTCTGTAAAAGTTTAATATTTTGCTAAAAGATAGTATAAAAAAAATATTCAACCCAACAGTGTGATTGGAGTAAAGCGATATGCAGACACCTAAAAAGATGGCTAGAGAGCAGGAAAAGCAGGACGTCTAATCACTGAAGAACAGTTATAAACAGCAATAAAATTAATACCTATATTAAACTAGCAGTGCAAAGATACAAACTGGAAGCAGCTTTACATTAAAAATACAGCTTTTTAAATACAGAAATAGCACCAATTTACAAAAGACAATCAGAAATGTAAACGTGGCAGGTAGATTCAAGTATAAGTTATACGCTCACCCTCCTCAGCAACTGTCTTGGGACAGAAAGGTTTCACAAACCCTGCAGAACATCCTGGGTACGCACTTCGCCTCAGTGCAAATACAGATTCTGCTTTTCCAAAGCTACTTTGCTGACGAGTTTATTTTACTTCTTAGCTTTCAGCGAAGGCAAAGATAGGAAAGGTAAACTCATTCCCTCTTGACAACCAACACTTCCCCCTCACCGGTCTAGTTCAGCAGCTCAGGTTCTGCAAGTAGCATTGATTCCCTTTGCCGCCCGACTGCTTCGGTGGTCCCACTCCTATTTTAGTGAGAATTTTGCATTGACAAAAACAAGACAGCCTATCAACCCCCTTCTTCTCCCAGGCCCAAATCTGCTTTCGCAACCATGACCCATCAAACAGCTTTGACTGTGAGGGAGTCGATCCTCATTTCCAGACCCGCTGTATTTACAGAAACTCAAAACTGGAAGCAGAAATTGGAAACTGAAGATCCATTTTCAGTCCCTGCATTTCAAGTATAGTTAGGTTAGTTATGGCACAGAATAATATTACTGACAAAGAAAGGCAATTTTTGGGATGATGCTTCAACTGGAACGAAGAGCCGATCTTAGCTCTAATCCTCCTCTCTGCTCCCAGCTGCCATTTCACTAAAAGGCTGCACTGTACTAGAGGGGAAGAGAAAAGACAAGGTTTGGGGAATTGACATCCACCATGTCATCCTGAACCCTGGCAGCCTGTTTCCAGCCCCAACAGCAACAAATGCACGCTAGCAGAAGTGCAGGGGCAGCACCGTGCCAATTACACATTGCTTTTCAAAGTGAAATTAATTTAAGAGGGTGTATAAGAAGAAATAATTCAGAAGCAAAAATTGTAAACTTTCACAACTGTAGTGTAACTAAAAAAACCCCACCAAACAAACCTTAAAATTTAGCAGTCTGAAGATTTCTCTTTACCACCCCTGAAATTTCCTATGATAATTCTACTATAGATTTTCTTTCAATGAGGGCTAACCAGCTCTCCTTAAAAGGCTGTTATTGGTCTATTCTAAGATAAGGCCACATTACTCAAACTCCCAGCTTCACTAGAATTCTTTCTTAAATTCCATTTTCATAATACATTTCATTATAAAAATAAAAAAGCTCATCAAATCCCCAACCCCCAAAGTCCTAGCCTCCCTTGACCAACAAAGTAGCACATCTGACAGTGTATCTACCCTCAGAAAACCAGTACCGGTACCAGTGAGAGAAGAGCCGATAATGCTGGCCTTACGCTTGCTAAAAATCCAGAGTAACGTGATGTCAACAGCAACACTTTCTGTCTTTTAAACAGGAAACTGCACAAATTTAATTGCAGATTGCTACCCAAGTGAAAACATACCCAAGCATAAGAGCATTAACTCTTAAAATTATGTCCTATATTATTAATAGCACCATCCATTATTTGAGGACTTTGTTAACTGTTACACTTTTCTTCCTCTTTATCTTCCCCTAAGGAATACAGATAATTTTTTTCCAACTTCTAAAATTTATGACTCCTGCTCTTTTCAGCTTCTTTTTATGGTTTAGATAGATACATGCCAAAAGATAAGATCTCCCTTGTCTTCCAAGTACACTCAAATGCACTAGTAACTAGTTATGAAATTCCCACAGGTGAAGAGTTAGGCACTTAAGTACATACCCCTTAAGTAGACTTAAGTAAACCACTAAGAGGGCACTTAAGTAGACTCAGGTTAGACTGAATCTAATCATGTGGTTAATGACTTACCAGCGTTCCCTGGTCATAAAGTCTACACTGTATATTTAAATGGGAGATGAAATCTTAGCCCAGCCCTCTCAGTGGCTTGTCACTCTCAAATTACTTTGTCAAACCCATTTAAGGAATCAGGTTTTGTATTCTTTACATCTAACTTGTACATTTTGCTCAGAGTAAAAGAAAAAAAAACCCAAGGACTAATACAATTCATTAACACAATTATAAAAATGTTAACATTCACAGTTATTTTGGTCTTAATATTTTTCACATGTATACATTCAATCATATTGTGTTAAGTTATTACTAGGTTTTTCTAACCACAAGTGCTGGGCAAATTGTACAACAACCAACTGACATTCAAGTAATCCTACCCTGAGAAAATCTGTTATTCTGAAGAGTGCAAAAAAGTTTTTTTGCACTAAATCCCACTCCAACATACAAAATAAATAGCAAGAGGCTGCACTGCAGAGGCAGGATTTGACAGATTGGAACCAAGGAAGCAGTTGCTCTCGCAGCTGCAGGAGTTTATCAATTTCACCACAGATTTACTCAGGGTAAGTAGAGTACATGCAAAAAAAAATGCTTGCCCCAGATAAGTGCTAGACATCTCACTTAAAACCATGAATAAAGAACCCCTGGGGACTCCAAGGAAATCTGTTCGCATCTCCTCACAGCAATAAAGAGTTTTCCAAATTAAAACCCCAAATACAATTTGATGCCCACAAGGCCGTGTGAAGCACAGCATCTGAATTCAAATCAGTACTGAAGGAACAATTCAGTAAAAGGTTTTCAGTACCAAGAATGATTTGTGAAGAAGGTGGTTAACAGAACTGGTGGGTGAATAGATAGCGGGGAAGCATGCCAAAAGGGATGATATTTTAACACGCTCTTCTTGCCAGATAAGAGTTTGTTCTCTTGAAATCGATACAGGGTCCTAGGACAATCTGCCCACCCTTTGCAATAAGTGGAGTTAGTCAGGGCTGGTACTAGAGATTTCCAGTCTCCTCTGCACAGAGCTGGCATTTCTGGTCTGGTTGCCTTCATTTTTCTTCCATGCAACAGGGTCTCCAAGACTTCTGGGAGTTTTGAAAAATGCCTCATGACGTGCAGGACGAATGCTCTTGGGAGTGAGGGGAGTTGATGAAGGCTATTTGTGAAACAAAACCAAAGCGATTCAGTAGGGTTTTCTCAAAGCCTACATGCAAGCAACACAAATAGAAGACAGCTTGTAGACATTAAGCCCTGTACCCTGCTTCTATAGGGAACCACGTCACACAGCCTTTCAGAAGCCCCACATGAAAAGCTACGGGCTTTGCCCCTGCTTTTTGTTCTGGAACCGTCTGCCAGTACATCATTGCTGGAAGCTGAAAGCCTCTATCTCATTTCCAACTTAAATGTATTCATGACTAGTTCATACTCATTCATTCTTATGCCAATCTTGTCCGCTAGCTTAAATGGCTCTTTCTGTTTTACTCGCTTTCGTTATTTGTTAGCATCAAAACAGATCTAAAATTAGTCTCCTAAACCCTGGCCACTTCTCTTTTAAGTGCCACTCCACTGTAACCTCTAATGCCAGTATCTGTAATCAGATTGGCTGCCAACCAGCCTCTATTACAGCCTTTTTCTAAAGCTCGAACCAGATAAACATAAAGTAACATTCATAAAGCTTCCAGAAGTTCAATCTATTTGTCACTGCATCAGACAATAGGAAAACAAATCACAGCTTTAAGAACGTAAGCTAAAGTAGTGCCAAAATGTCACTGCTAATAGTTGTAAAGACCCAGGTAACACAGTATGACATGACTTGTTTTACATCACTCGTATTTCAGTGATGAGTAAATGAGTCCTTCTTCACTTTTGAATTTCTCATTTTTTCACTCGAAAAGTCTGCTTCTATGATAATTTTTTAAAAATATCTGTATAAAAAAGATCAACAAAACCCACAAGAATCGTTGTTTTCCCCCAGTTCTGATGCTGCTATTATGTTTCCATTATTTAGTGAAGAGAGATCAGAACGGGTGTGAGGAGGTAACCCAGGACACTACCACCTGAGAAGTGTGGCAGCCAGCTGACTGCTGAATTATGACGAACAATCCCCCTGTCCACCTAACGCGTTTCTGTAGCCATTGCAAAACACACAATGATAGTGTCAAATGAGGAAAAAATACTGACTCGGATTTCTGGGGGAAAAACCCCTCTAACTTATTTTTTTCTCTATTCCTGTAAGATTTTTAAAGATTAAGATTTTTATGATTTTAAAATTCCTGTAAAATGTCTAAAACTCACCAGTCCACCGTTCAGGGCTAGATGTGCAATGCTGGGCTAGGTCTTTAACACTGTCCCAAGCGTTGCCACCACTAGAGACGGACACGCAAACTAAGTGGAAGACACCAGCTCCCAGCGTGCCAACTTACCACTCTGACAACACCGGCACCAGCTCGCAGCGCAAGCTGCCTTCAGTCCCAGTGACCTGGCACTGCGGTTTCATCACCCAGCCACCTTTCACCCTTACCTGCTGCAGCTTCAGAAGGGTCACCGAATGCCCCATACACACGGGGGAGTCCCGTTTAACAGCACCGCGAGACCTCGCAAGCACGGGACTCAGGTGCAGAGGAGGGTGAGCTGGTTGCTGGGGATCCACCGAAGACGCGGGTGAGACCTTGGGGGTTACCACTGCCGTGGTGCCTATGAAAACAGGCGTTGTTGATGCCAGGCCAGACATACTGAAATTCATGGAGGCAGCAGCCGAGAAGGAGCCATCGGGAACTGGGGAAAGAGGACTGGTGATCGTGGGAGAACAGACGAGAGGGAAGGAAGCCAAGGCTGCTGATGGCACCACGACACAGGGGACGCTCAGAGAAGGTAACTGGCTCGCAGCCAGGCTGATAGCACCAGGGGCTTGGTTTGCAGCCAACAGGAAATTAAAACTGCTTAATCCTAAACCAAAGAGAGAAAAAGCAAGGCATTAATACAGTTGACAAATTGGAATTAAGCTATTATAACTTCATCTAGAACAGGAAAGAGGGATGACAACAAAGAAAGAGACAGACTGCCCAGGAAAAAAACTGTGATAAAAAGAAGAAAAAAGAAGGAAGAAAACTGTCACAAACCTGTGACTCTTCTCTCAAGCTCCCTTTCCTTAGCTACCTCCATCTCCCCCTCTACTGCCTGTTCACTATATTTGCATCCATTTACTTTGTTCATATTAAGTACCAACCACACACCTTGCTGTTTTCTGCTTCTAACTTCAGTTACAAGCAACATCTTGGCTAAACAAACTCTTTTTTCACTAACAGGAATCATATCCTCTGCTATATGAAAACATATGCATTGCTTTTTATAAGGAAAAAAAAAAAGGAACACACCCACAAAGATACACTCCAAAGGCACTAATTTTCCTGAGAATGGCTGAAATACTGTTTTGAAACAGAAGCTGCTCCAGTTCCCAGTTTGTCTGACCTTGCAAAACAACAGGATCAACACTTTCAAACTGAGTGTCTCCATCCTATAAGTGAAATCCCATAGACCCCACTCTGTGCCACAACTGAATCAAATACTAAAGCAGTAGTCACGGAAATCTGCCACACGTATCCTGTTCCCACAAAACACTTCCACTCCACACAAACACAGGCATGGAAAATGGTGGACACGAAATCCTCTTGTAGTATTTTCAGCTACTTCCTCCCCATCCCTACTGTGTCCTACGAGCAGGCCTGGCTACGCTCCCAGTGCCTGTTTTTGTGAGGTTATCCCAATGATGCACATGACAAGACAGTACAAGTAGACGACTAAATTCACCCACTCAGGGGGATGCTGTTGCACTATTCTGGCTGCCTTACTGTCAAACCTAGACTTCCAGCTCCTCCGAGTTTTGAATGCTGGATAGGTGTCTTTTTTGCGGCACATAATTCAAGCATGCAAACCCCACATTATTCATCTCTCAATGTTTGGGTACCTCAGAAGAATGCCTGTATTTTCACAGAAGCAACAGTTCATCTGGAGTCAAGAGAATTCAGAGCTATTAAACTACTACAGAGAACTGCTTTTTGTGCGACATACAGACTTATTCACCTATCTGTAGGTCTCCCTATTTGAACAGCTCAGTGAACAGATGCAGAAGTTTGAGTGCCTCTAAATCTCATGGCTGTTCTTACCAGCAGTAGGCTGAACATAAAGATACTGTGGTAGGAAAGGTTGATTGGCATTTTCTTTAGAGATGTGCTCTTTTCCTGGAGAGGGTTCATCAGGGTCTTTATTCTGAGACCATTTTTCTTGCTCCTGAGACTCTAAAGGCTTAGTAGACTCCTTGTCTGCAGCCTCTGGAGCAGCAGGACTTGCGAGGTCAAGATGAAAAGCTTCTAGATGTTCAGCAGATGTACAGCCAGTTCCTGTGGTAGATTCTGCCTTGAATGACTCAAAAGGCTTCTAAGCAAAAACAGAAGAGGAAATGACAAGTCCAAACTGAAATAACACAGTACAATGTCTCTCATGCGCTTTCCTCAGCTACAGAGTAAAATGTGCTCCTGTGCAAATGGGCAGCACAAAACTCATTAGCATGTCACCAAGTTAAAAATTTTGTTTGAGGGTTTGAAGAACAATATTAGTGATGCCTAAGCCCTGTGCTGTAGTTCACTTTCAGTACTTGGAGACACTAGATAAGAAATACCTGAGCTTGGGGATTAATTTCTCTTTATTGATATGGAAAAACACCTGTTTCAAATGGCTTATATTCAAACACTGATAACGACCTTGAGCCCCATTTTCAGTAGTTAAGAAAACTGTGAGATAGATGCACTTCACCTTCACCATCATCTCCTCTCTCACCAGCCTGCTGTGGGCAACATTGGGCATGAGAAAGAGGGACTCAGGCTGGAGAGTAGGGGGAAAGTACAATCCACATTTGCTGTAGCTCAGTGGAGTAAGCTGCTGCTGTCTGGGAAAGCCCAAGCTAACAGGGGAAGATGAGGAGTAACAGTGACATTGATTTCTTCCCCTCTGACAGGCTGTTTTGTTGAAGACAATGATCAGGACACTGATTACAAAGAACAGCTGACCATCACTTCACTATGCAAAGCAATCACAGTCCATTTTCCCCTGGTAGTGTGAAAACATCTCCCAGTTAATGCCTATACTTCCTGGCACAGCACCCTTACATTTTTATTAACATGTGAGAGGTAGCCTTTGTATCTGTAACAAGAGTGGTGTAGTGAATTTTCACTTCTGAAAACACTGTCTCGGGCAAAAGTCTTTCCTCACTAACAGGAAGCCTAAGTGACAATGAAATTCACTTCTTTACCTTGGGTACTACAAGTGAGAGTGGCACATCACTCTGTTCCATGGTCTGCTTTTTAGCAGCTGGCTCTTCATCATCCACAGGTGCAGAGGGTGACGCGCACTTGTGGGAGCTGCGTTTCTGGCAGGCAGCTGGAGGTACAGCGGCCTGAGCTTCTGCCCTCTTGTTGCCCATGTCTCCTGTGGTGGGCAGGGTCTCCCTCAGGTTATTTTCCTGAAGACTGCCACACAACATAAAAAGGGATGAAGAGGGGAAGCACAGGAAGGGTTGGTTGGGGAGCAGGGCAGGTTTTCCGTTTTCTGTTTTGGAGGCTGCTGGCGTGGAAGGATGTAGAGCTTGGCCGCTGATGCCACTTGGCAGCGAGAGGCTTGGCATATCTGCCTGAACCACAGGGAAAACTGCCTGAGGCAAAGGGTTAACACAAAAATCAGAGTCCCCAGGAACTGGAAGAAGGGAGAGAGGTGAGGTTATGCTTGGGTTCCTTGCTGAATTTAATATTGTTTCTGTGGCACAAGCTTTATTCCTAAAAAAAAAGTAATGAAAAGAGGAAAAACATTTAGTCCAAAATTAAACCCCTATTTTATCCTTAAAAGCAAACAGGTACATTGTTGGACATAAATGTGGAAAAGTTCCCCCCCCAAATCACTACTTTTACACAGTGTACAAGGAGGCTCACTTTTTATTATTTCTAATTACACAGAAGCAGACTTATTGGTTTTTTGGCAGAATAATAATGCTTTTGGTTGCACCTGACTAGAGTCAATCATTCACAAATGAATTCAAATTAGGATAGGTGTAGAGAAGACCCACTGATGTGACAGAGAGGCTCTTCCATGGAATCATGATTTGCTCAGCCTACCTAGACAACAGGTCAAAGGAGGCAGGGATGACCTATATAAGCACCCATGAGATGAAGAACTACTGAAGCTAACAGACAGCAGTGGTACAAGTACAACTGGGTATAAATTGGCCATGAAAAAAAAAAAAAAGCCAGCCACGCTGAAACCTATCAGCATTAAAATAGTAATAACAAGAGACTCTGGCAATTTTCTGTCTCAGTCTCGTCAATGAAATCTAGCCTTGAACTAAACATGACAAGCACGAAGCTGAAACTGGACAGGAGCTAAGACCAACCTACCTAGTATCTTCCTCTATTTTCTGCCTGCAGACAGCTGCTAGATTTATCATTTTGGAGCAATATTCATCTGAATTCACAACACAGGCTGAAAGAACAAAGGAGCATTCAATTAACAACAGGTAAGTTTACCAAGCATATTTTGATACTGGCCATAGAAAATAATTGATATAATTTTTCTATCCTGACACATTTTTATAACATTCACTAATCACCTAGAGCCATAACCTGCAAGACACTCAGAACTCGCAGTCCCAACGGAGAGGTGCTTGACATCATCATTTCCTATAACAGGGAACTGTGAAAAGCCCTGTAATTGCTTTATCTGTTTTAACAGCTATCCATTAGATTGTTACAGTAAACTCCATTATATTAGGAACCATAAAATAAAGCAATCTTTTGTGGCTAAAGAATCTTTCTTTATACCAAATTTTAACAGAAGAAACTGTAGTATAGTTGCAGTTAGTGGAGAACAGAAACATTTACCAGAAAACAAACTGCAGATTCAAGGCAGTATGGCCCAGATTCATGTCATCTAACTTTAGGCACTTGACCGGAGGGTCCAAAACAGAAGTCTCATCACATGGACAGTAGAAATACAGGCACCTCCCAAGGATAATTCACATATTTAATTAGGCTGATTCACCCCATCAAGTGCCTTAAATTAGTGGGCCCACATTTGGGCAGATCCAACGGGATACAAAAGAACACGCTTCCTTAGTAGTTACCTTGCCTCTCTTGATGTGGGCTGCTGGGCTCAGAACTGACCTTCCTTCTGGTCCCTTCACAAGGCTGTGTGCCGTTAAAAGAAGTGTGACGTGTAAACCTTTGCTTCCCAGTAGCACAGATCCGATACGGGGCACAGGCTCCACTCTGCGTCCCTGGCAGAGGATCAGATGTTGGGCTATGCCCTCTCGGCTCATCTGTAGGAACATAATTTTGTACAACAGTCCTTCAGGGAACACAGCTCATCATTTAGGCTTCTGCCACATTACTCAACTTGGCCACGAGAGAAGAGGCAACCCCTATACCATCCCAAATCCCACAACACTGAAGCAGACCTAAGCTTGGTAAGCACCGATAGACAAGATAAGGGCTTTCCTCCTTTTCATTCCATGGCAGTTGCAGCAGCAGTTACACTCTAGTATGTGCACCCAGGAGGAGAAAGGATACTAAGATGGCATTATCACTATCCTTCACTTTTACTTGGTCCTGGCACTGGCCTGACCCAAGTACATTAGCAAAGATCTTTCCTTTGCTCTGGCTTCTGGCCAAGAATCAGCAGCTTACAGAGATGCTCTGGTCCACCGCCTCCTTCTTTGCAGACAAACCTTTTGTTCGAGGGGACACGTGCAAGAAACAGCCCTGCTCTACCTTGATAAGTCCCCTTACAAAGAAAATAATTCACTGTCTAGTTATGACAGAACTACTGAGGTTTTGCAACCCAGAAAAGCCGTGGACCCAGATTTGGAGATGTAGGCATTATCTGCCATCGCTGTACAATTTATACCGTTATTCATATAGTTATGTAAGTCGGTGTAAAAATACCAGCAAGACACAGTATCCTTCAACATCCCTCCACAGTTCCAGCCTTTGAGCATAAAGTCTTACGAGGGCAAATGTTGGGCTGGTCAGCAGCTAATAACCACAGGGTGGGCAATGAATGCCAAGCCATTCTTTACACACGGAAAACAACCTATTACCACTTGGGAAGGATTGTCAAAACAAAAAGAAAGGAGATGCGAGCTACACAAGTTACCGGTCTTTCCAGGGAATTCCGCAGGCCCAATCCACTTGAAGGCTGGTTTGCGTCCTCGTTCCTCTGTGACATGAACTTTCTTGATCAAGCCAAGGCTGGTGAGGACATTGGCGATATCATACAGTCTTCGTACCTTTGCTAACAAGAAAGGGCAGAAATAGTCAAGACAGTCACGTTTACAATGCATACAGTACATATCTACATGGTAATTTCATTCCAGAATATCACCACAGCTTTCATAGACTAGGTGGGTAACATCAAATTGGGATGGACTTAAGCCACCTTCTATGAAGCCTGCCATGCCAGCTTCCACCTGCTTGTCACTGCTTCTTCATATCTTAGCTGCTCATCCATCTTAGCTGCTCAGGTTTAAGCTCACCTACCTCATTTTGATCAAAATGGGTTAGGGAGTGATTACATCATCAGCTTGCCCAGAAGAGGCAGCTACCTCCATGTGGAGTAAAGACAAGCACGTGGTGGCAAGAGGCACATGAATGCACAGATGATCACAAGCGGACACATGTTTATCATCTTAAAAATATAACACTTTTAGAAAAAAATCTCTGTGACTCCAATAAATAACATGTTTGAGGTGAGTATGATACCCACAGGTAGTCCAGCTAAACTTCTCACATCCCTCCCGGTATTTGGGGTAGAATTTTAAGACTGAAGTGCAAGTACTTTATTTTAAAAGTACTTTAAAGACTTAAAATAAAAGTCTTTATTTTAGAAGAATTATTTACCAATGCTGAGTTTTTCCATGTTGTCCAAGGGATCTAAGTACTAATCCCCACTAACTGGAAAGCAAACTGTGCCATCCAGCTGTGAAAGATTTCTGGGGTGAAAAGGAGAAGTAACACATTTCTGTAGAGAAGAAAATGAATTCCATTAAATTAAACATGTTTCATTTCAATAAGTTCTGAAACGTCATTCAGAACGGTACAAGAAACAGGGTTAAAGTATGAAAAAAAAGTTCCAACAAAAAAAAAGGTTTTTCTTCATTCTGAAGCTAAAACTTGGAGATAATTGTCAAGCTGACTCTTCCACACCCCTAGCTCTGTTTTCACAAACTGGCATTTGCAATTAAAAAAAAAAAACAAACCAAATTTCAGCAAAAGACTCCTGACCTGCTCTTACCATTACCTACTGGTGTCAGTCCAAACATGCCCCTGTTTTCTTTACTCACTGACCGATTGATTTGTCTCTCAACAGCCAGCTTACTTTTAAATTTGCTGTGGTCCACTGTATCCTGTGTTTCTTCTATCAGTATCTTCGCTGCGATGTCCAGAGTGACTATCTTGGTCTTGGAGACAAGGAACAGCATGACAAACTTTTGGCTCATAATCCGCAACGACTTGTCCTTTCTGCTGTTTGCAGATGCTGTGTTACAAATAATACCCAAGCCTCTTAGCATATGTCATCCATCACAGCCAGAAAACTAGCAAGTAGGTTTCTCACACACAAAAAGGGTAAAGTATTTCCTTGTTGGGAAGCAGAAATCTTTTGAAAGGCAGCAAATAACTGAGTAATGCAGACAGAAGCCTCTCTTCAAAAGGCAATAAAAAATAAAGCTTGTAGAAATGGCTTTTATAAAGTCAGATTCCAAAGCAGATTCTATGCTACGTTACACAGTTTTGCACCACTATGATTTTGTGACTCCAATGGACTTTGTAACTTAAAACACTATGTATTATATGGGCAAGCATGCAAACAGTGGACAAATGGAAGATGGCACCTTCTGTCAGGGTAGAGCATTTACTGTCAGGTACAGGTGGGGAAAGAAGAACTGGAGTGCCTGGCAGAAGCTCCTGCCAGTCTGTAGGACAGAGGGAAAAATCCATCCTGAGACCTATGCTAGGGACAGGAAGAATTCTGTCATCTCTGCGGTGAATTCAGCACCTTTTTGAAAAGAATAATTTTTTATTATTTAATTTAAAAGCAAAGCAAGGGAAAAAGTCACATAATAAGCTGGAGAAAAAGACTTGTGTCTGTGTATCACATCACACACATTAGTTATCTTACCAGAGGTGCAATCTGGTTCTGAAAAGTCCAGTAATGGTCTGTCTTGAGAATCTGGAATAGTTTCCTTTTTCCGTTCTCCAAATTTGTACTCCAAGTCCTGCTCCTTGTGCTGGACGAAGGTCATTAGCTCTCCATACTGCAGCTCTCCTGCTTCCTGAAGTGTTTTCAGAGTCTGACTTAGGTTGTGCCGGCCATGCCAACAGTACTGGTTCTTGGCCACACGGCTAACCAAGTGCAACGACTCCAGGACGTTCACTATATCGTAAATTCGTCTCCGCTCAACTCCTGTTTTAAGCGGGGGGGAAATAAAAAAAGACATAGATGCTCACCTAGTTTTAATGTGCTCTTCAGCAGAAGCGGAAGAGAGAACAGGCTGTTCTCTAATACCGAGTGTTCACAACACATTTTTCACTGTTCACCTGGACACGCTACATTAGATCCATCCAAATTTGTACAATTAAGAACTGACTTATGTATGGCAAGCCCCATGGTGTGATGTTCTTTGTCTATTTTAACTGCCGGCTCAGCAATGGCTTCAGCTTAAAGCATCTACACTGTGTTTAGAAGAACTGATTGCAGTCTGCCCAGCCCCACTCACTCAGACCTATCCAGACCGCCCTGGGGTTTTCAGAGCACTTTGGCTCTTCTTGTCAGAGAGCTTCAGAGCTCAGACACAGACCTGTACACAAGCCTGTGTGTAACAGAGGGCAGGAAAGGGTCTGAGCCTGGCACTGACACAGTGTAGATATAAAAGCCCACTCCTAAAGGAACCAGTGGGAGTGTGGGCCTCCACTTGCATTTCCAATGGCACAATTACTTGCTAAGCACATACCAAGCAAAGGAGCAAGGGCTTCACAAGGTGCAAAGCAGTGGAGAATGAGACCCACTGTTCCCAAATGCAGCAGAAATGAGTCCTCAGTGCTGGCTGGGTCTGCACCAATGGGACAGCTATGAAATATGTCCAACTTGGGTTCACCCTGACTGACGTGACCAAGACTGGGGACTGAATATGAACAGGCCGGTGGCTCTGCTCACTGTCCCAAGTACTCGTGTCCAGCGCTGTTTGAAGCGTGGCTGTTATATATAACACAGTGCACTATACACTGGTGGCATCATCTATACCTGAAATCCCATAACGGTTAACATCAGCTGAGCAGAACAAGTGCTAGCCAAGGGGAAAGGTTTTGAAAGACTTCCCTGCGGAAGGCAAGGCCTTGATGCATCTGTTTACCCATCTGGAGAATATGGATAATACTTACAGCCTCACACAGATATTAGGATAAATAATTCATGAGTATTTCCAAGTGTGTGGAGATCTTGGAGTGAAACACACTCCGGAAAAACAAGAGTGCTACACATATCCTGGTGTCTGTCAGGCACCAGCAGCGTAGCCCCCTTTGTGGTCTTTCCATAGGTCTTCAGTGGACAAAGCAATACACATTTGTAGCAAAAGCTGTATTACAGCCATCATTTGTTACACAGAGAGCAGCAACATCAGCAGCGGATAATTTTGTGGTCCCTGAAGCAAGTGGATAAAGGCAAGCAAGGAAGTGAAAACCAAAGGGAGAAGAACAAACACACCCCCTTCTGGGAGGTAAAATCCCCAACAGTAAGTTTTAAAACAAAGTTTCTAGTATTTAGGAAAGCAAGGTAACGCCACTCCCAACACAGAATAGAGCACTACTCATGTTCAGCTGTACAAGGTGGGAGCACAAGCATCTCATGCAAACACACAAAGGAGTAACTGCAAAATCTAAAAGAACGATTCGTTTAAAAAGTAATTTAACTATTTACTTCATCTGAATTCTCTCCTATTTCCACTTCCCATTACCAAGGCAAATAAATGAGTATTTCAAGGACTTTCTTATCAGAGTCACAGAGAACTTCACTCTTCTGTTCCCTTCTTCCCAAAACAGACGCATTTCATTTTTGCTACCTCTTTTCTGTTAAATGCCTGAGTTCTAAATGTAGATACGACATTTATTTAGTTTAAGTCAAATTTTGTAAAGCCCTTCCTAGCTAAAAGACAACCTCTCCAAGGACCTGGATCTTTTTGTTATTGGTGTGACCTGGCTGAGGCCTCTCTCCCAAGTTCTATTACTTCTCTCAGATATTTCATTAATCTTTTAACTAAGACCAAACCTAACAGCAGACCCAGCAAATAAGCTACTCGATACCTTCTTGCCACCCCAATACAACACATTTTCTCATTCTACTCTTGCAGGTCCCCTGGTAACCTCCCCTCTCAAGACAATATTTAAAGCTAAGAGAACCTTGGTGAATCATAAGATCTTGGAAGATATAATGTCAGGCACGTTACTGAAGTCAGGCAGTAAACCCAACCGATTTCCTGCATCTACTAGTTTGCAATTGTTTCCCGAATGTTCCATTTTGACAAGATTTGTTGTTCCTAAGTCCTCCTTCAGAGGGTTTGTAACTCATAACTCCTTCAGTCTTCAGCAAATTGAAAATTTAAGAAAGCAAAAGAGTTGGTGAACAGCTAGAGGACAGATCTGTCTAGTAAAAAGTACTGTCAGAAAGCAGATTTCAAAATGGTAGCGTTATCAAGCAGTAAAGACACTTAGAAATATTAGGCATTTCCAACTTTTGATTAGTACGATTAGAAGAGCATCCAGACCCAGGGAAAGGCAGACCTTGAATGTACTCTGTAAGAAGGATGGTCTTTTGAAGGCCCTCCTGTCATGTTACCCCAGGTGATCAATTATCCCATTTTTGAAGGTATACATACCGAGAATTGAAGCCACTTCATCCAAAGAAATAGTAGTTTTTTCTGTTGACAATGGATAACTTGGATAGCGAGCTAGAAACTTTTGGCACAAGAGTCCTAAGCTTTTCTGTTTTCTGCTGGGCCTCTGTTTTTCAAATTCATCAACCGTACTGTCGTCTACCATATCATACTGTTAAAAAATAAATGTTAACCCTTTAGTGCAGAACTTCAGAAGCAAGGCATAGCCAAGCAAGGCATATTTCAGATGTTAGCAATATTTAAGCTCAGACTTTCTAATAAGGAAAAAACCATGGACTTCTTGCAAGCGCAGAGCACTTGGGTGACACACTTTTGCTTGCAAGCTCTTTTTAATTCATCACACAAGATATCTACAGAAAAATTCTTATCTGCGAGATCATAAAATAATGGTTATGTATAAGAAAACAAAAGAGTAAGACCAAACAGCCAAGACTAGCAGATGGTAAGATCCTACTTGGAAGGAATATTTATTTTTTTGAGAGGAGAAGGAACATTCCCTCAAACACCTCTGGATCTAATAAACCAGAAGATGTACAAGCCATCAGACAGTTTCTCTTTCAAGAGATTTTACTGCCCTTTACAGTGCCTAAACTGGGGGTTGGGGAGGGCATGATGCTAAGAGACTATAAAAGGCACCACCCAGTCTCTGAACCTTAAACTCAGTCAAGCTGTTAGCTTAAGTGAACTCTGCAGGATGGTCTGAATATGGTCTTTCTGTCCCGGGGGCGTGGGGCAGGGGGGGAGGGAAACCAACAAAACTGTGATGGCAAGAATGTATGAAGAGGTATGTTTATTTATTTAAATGAGAATGATGGAGGACTTTTCTGCACTGGTAACTCTGGGGTTTTGCTTCCATGTCAAAAAAAAGAAAAAAAAAGTAATCTTGCCTTCTGGCAAAGAAAAGCCAGAGTGGTGGAAACCCAAGTTTCCTTGCTTATGAGATCTTAATTGTCCTTTGCTGGTTGTGACTAAGTGACCCTGTGGTCGGCTGTTGCTTTGATTGAATTCTTTGAGTTTTATATGGTATGGAAATAGCAGTATTTTTACAGTAACACTTTTACATCTTTTGTAAGTTAACTTTTGGTGTGGAGAAAATTATTAAGTGTAAGTTTTACTAACTAGAAAATATTTGAACCTGTTATAGTAGCCACCCCAAAAATGCTATATGATCTCAGCAGGCTTGGAGAGGTAATGAGCTAACCTTTAACATTGATTGTTTTTTACTTACTGGAAGCTACGTTAGGAATTCTCTTTAGAGAACTGTTTGTTCCTTTATGACTATCTAAACTGGAGAATTTTCCAGACTACTGTCACTGTAGATGCTGTAAAATCTACACTGGTAGAGTGATCTGTACCTATCAAATGATCCTTCTTAGTAGGAGGACCTCAGAACTATCTTCCTCTCGCTGAAATCACCAAGTAAGGATTTTCTACAAGAAATAATCCAGGAGAAGGAAAGCTGTGGTTGGAACAAAAAAACAGTCTGAACAAAGAAAACTGTAATGATGCTTATTACGACCTGATGTCATCCTCTCCATGGATGGACTTGACAGGGATCAGCTCGCACATTGCCTGAGTCTTGACAAGTAAAAATCTTCCAAACACTTGACCATGCTGTCTGACTACTAGTTTGGGGGCTGGGGTGGAAAAGGGGAGAAAGGTTTTTAACTGACTACTCTGTGGGGCTGTTGTGGACAAGGTATAAGATTTCAAATGTGTGTTGAAGAATATGCCCTCACCATTGTCAAATTGCTTTTGAAAATGCTGCCTGTCTGTTTAAAAATGATTTGGCAATTTTCTTTCTAATGCGGTTCAGAAAATAGCATCAGAAGTCCTTAAGTTGGGGAAAATGACACATTTAAGCTCTACTTCCTTCACTGTCCTTTTAAGTAATAGTCAGGCTCTTGAGGGGTCTCAGGTCAGTTACTAGTAAGACAGTTACTTTTAGTCTTTGAAAGTCCTACTGCTCAGCCAGTGCCGCATAGGCAACTGTCCTTGGGAATGTTTTACAATTCTGCAGTTTTCCATAGGGAGCAAAGGACCAGTTGGAAGAAAACTGAAGCACAACTCAAGGAAGGTCTGAGTCCTAACTGAACATAAGGTAATCGTGTTCTGAGTCTCACCTGTAACGAATCAGGTGTGTCACTCTGCTCACTGTTTTCTATGGGTCTGAAGAGCTCTTTCTTCTTTTCCCTGTCCCTCATGTCAGGGCTAGCAGCACTAACAAGCATCTTCAGGTTAGCGGTGGGGGTCCAGGGATCAGGCTGAGGTCTGTCAACGAGCTTAACGGGTGTAATTGGATTTCTTTCCGGGGTGCAGCCTTTTTGCTTTGATAAATCAACTGGTTCATTCTTAATGGGAGTCTTTGGGGCCATCCTGGATCGATCAAATATGTTTTCCTATTAAAAACAAACTTCTTTAGACACAACAGGAAAGAAAACAGTCCAACAATCAATTTCACTGTTCTTACAAAGGTAATTGTAGTGACTCATGCCTTGGCACTCATAGCTATATTTAGCACAGCTCTTCTGCCTTTGTTGGAAGCGGTAAAATAGTCTACATGCTACAGTACTGGAGGCAGTGTACATGAGATACTGCCCTGAATTACAGAACCTGAAGTCAATCAGTCAAACTTGTGGCCTGTCAGGCTTTTAAACTCTGACTGTTATTACAAGACAGCATTGCCCCCTGAACAGAAATCACCAAATTGGACTGAAACTGAAATAATGCATTGGTCACATTACACTTAGCAAGAAAACACATTGTTCTGCTTGAAAGGTCCCCAATGAAAAGCCATGCTGGGTATGCAGCTCAGACTGTCATAAAACGTCAAACTAAAGTGGATGTAACTTCATGTGCAAGTGAAGCAAGCTTTGCATCTGCACTATCTGCTGAAGAAAATCTCCATAACTATTCCTTGACTATAGCTGAGAGCTGCTAGAAGGAAAAGTCTAATTCATCAGCTGATTTTTATCATTCTTTGAATGAAGCTTAACTCCTTCCAGTCTCTAGCTGCAATCAAACTTTTTTCATATTTCATCTTTGGGTCCAATTTTACCCCTTCCTCTTACTGCAAGAATTATCACTACATATCAACTAATTTCAAAGGACTGACTGAAGAAAGCACCAATGGTATCCTTGAACTGAGATCTGTTTTTGAGCAACAAGAGACACTACTTCACTCTAGCCTGTTAGGGCAAATAGCTCATGAAGACTAAAGGAATGAAGTAGACAGGATGCCATACTGGCTTTCTTTGCAGGATATCAAAAATTGAGGTCCAGGTAGCCTAAACCTGGCACAGAGCAGGACTTCCAGAAATGCCCATACAGAAAGTTGTACTGTTTCTTTTTGCCCAGGGAGATCAATGCTCTGTTCTGTTCTTAGATAGTCCAGCTATCACTTAATTCTCCTTAATACCCTACAAACAGGACACCGTGTTTTTTGGAACTCTAGCTAATATTGCTCAGTGGTTTCTAGATTTAGTCCCTTGAAATGATTGTATGCACCTTGCGTAAAGTGAGAGAGAGAAAGCGAAGTGGACAGACTATCATCAGAAAGCTAGCAGAGCTTATAACTTGCTGGAATTGGGAGTGAAGCCTTTGGAACCGGAGAAAACTGCTTTTAAACTATAAATCAGGCTTTCAGTTGTTTGTTCTTCAGTCCAGCTGTGGCTTTTTTGGTGTTGTCTCAAACTGAGCAAGTCGTCTTGCTCAGACTAAGATTACCACTTCATTTTTTTCAAAATGAGTTTTAAAAATCTAACATGACAACTTTGATGCTGGATATTGTTATGTATTTTGTGCCACAAGAAGTCCAATTCTGAAATGGAATATAGCCTGAAAGAAAATGTTAAGTTACTATTGGTTTGCTGTAAGAACTTTCCCAAGTTAAGTTTTGCCTTTTATTTGGAGCAATTCAGCTATCACTAGCTGATATAGATATTTAAACAGGTGATTCCAAATATCATCTTATCAGGCACAGTCTAGCTAGAAAGCAGAAAGAAGTTTAGTAACAACTGAAGCTGGCTTTTACTAGGAACAGTTCTGTAGCCTTCAAACTGGAAACGAATTTGGCACATCAAAAGCATTGTGCTCTGCGCACTGATGAACACTTCTGCATACATTCACCTATGAATTACCCAAAAGGATGTAATAAATATAATCTCCTTTTACAATTAACAGTTAGCCAGTTGTAACTTACTACACTGTGATAAATAGGGGTCAATTTAGAGGCCATGGTACTTCTTGGAATATATGTTCACATAGTGTTGGCACTCAATATATTCTTGCAATTTCACATTTGGCAGTGAATCAACGCTTAATCTGTAATGGAGAAAGTCTACCTTCCCCTCAAGTTCCTGTTCACTATGGCTGGTGCTAATGGAACTGCAGTGAGGGCAGCTGAAGCAACCTGCTGTTCCACTACCTCAAATTTTCATGTTTGTGCAAATATCACAATGAAAAAAAGTAGTGGCACTACATGAGTAGCACATGTCTACTATCAACCTTTCAGATCTTTATTTCCTGAATGTCATAATTGCCTACTAAGGTAAGAAATGCTTTTACCCCCCTCCTCTTTTTTTTTTATTTCAGTAGCTGCAATGCTCTATGAACTCCTAGCTGTATTCCACAAAACCACAAGGGCAGTTGGCAGAAGTATGAGATTCCCCTTGATCCAAGCAGAGATGGCTTACAAATACAAGAGGACAGGAAAGGCTGGTTTAATGAACTCAGTAGTAAGCATGAACTGAAACAAATCTCCGAGATCATAAGAGCCGAGTCTGACAAGAACTATGTGATCTTTGGAATACTCAGATTGAGCATGGACAGCAGGTCATGAATCGGGTCTAGTTTAGGAGACATTACTGAGCAAGGTGTGCCTGAGGCTAGGTATCCTGTCTCCTGGCTGGTGGGGTGGGAGGGGAACGATGAGCTTGTTTCTTGCTGAGTGGGACTGCTCAGCCTCTTAACCTGGGAACACCACTGTATGGATACAGGCCAGAAGGCATGCATAGCGGACATGTGCGTCAGCACGCTCAAACTGCTGCTAAATAACAGGACTATACTACTCCTGTGTCATGTCTGGCCAGGTGTTGGTTAGCTTTTCAACAACGAATCTGCACAAAAGCCCCCTCCACCTTACCCAACAGTAGCCACTGGGATGCTTAAGATAGCCTAGTGAGCTTTACTTATTAAGTGAAAGTTAAAAACTTTCCCTGGGAATAATGCCAGAGTGTAATCGCTTTGCTTACTGACAACAGTGGCATGACTCACGGTTGTTTTACTGGATTGTTGTCCATGACAATGTTAACGGTAGCACCGGACACCCACCGGACACCGGCTCCAAGTGCCGATAGGTAAGGTGCTGCTCCGCACACCAACATGGCAGGACAGACCAGATGC